ACCAACGTCCACGACGTTCGCTTTACCTGGAATCGTCAATGGTCTAAACCGAGTCTATCGAGCTGTTGCCGATGCCTCGATCTTTTTCTCGATCGTGCTTATCGTTCGCTCGGAGTCTTCGTCGGCGGCGAATTTACCGCAACCACTCTGCTTCCATCGATTGATCGAATTAACAGCTCGATCATCGATCGTTCCTTGTCTGGTACGCTCGATCACTACACACCGTCCCCTGCCCGCCCATTCGATCTCTCTACGGTTTCTCGAGTCGGCCTCGATCTCGCGATTAAACTCGCCGAGAAAGCGTACGTACGAACGATCCAACGAAACGTCACTTGTTCGCGTTCGAACGTTCGATTTCAGGATAGAATCCGCGAAAGAGTTACGATCACCAGTTGCACGAATCTCTTGCCTCAAGGACGATCGATGGTCGTTCGTCCGGTCGTTGAAGGAATCAAAGTTGACAGGTGACAGTTAATGGTCGTACGATTCGTGCCGTATAATCGATGATTCGATCTGTTATCGTTCATGAATTCAATACGAACGTCGCGGAAATTTGACGATTCGTTTCCCCTAATCAAAGACTCGTCGATCGAAACGTACGATACGTTTCGTTTGCGGATATGACCACAATTTTCGTTCGCGATACTCGATCTCGTTGTCGAGCGATACGGATCGGGCCGCTTACTCTTCTTATCTTTCTCAATGAAATATCAGATCCTTATCCGATGGATCGACAACGAGCCGGTAATTTGATGTTTGTCCCTCGATTGCGCGACCACCTGACGCGATGCGATTCAGCGTCTCTTTTCAAGGTGTCCAACAATTCCATCCAGATGGGTTTCGCGACCTTTCGAACGCGTAGGTCTCGATCTCAATTTCCGTAAACCTGGTGCACTCGATTCCAAAGACGATAGGATCGTTGGCGGCGATTAGATCGACTCGATGCGCTCTAACAGTACGAATAATCTGGCCACGGAAAGCAGAATATCGGACGATGCTCGCTCGTAATCGATCCGATCGTTAAGTGTTGCGCGTATCATTGCGAACTAAAACGATCAACGAGCTATGTTGTCTCCTGCACTATGTTTGTATACCAACGTCCACGACGTTCGCTTTACCTGGAATCGTCAATGGTCTAAACCGAGTCTATCGAGCTGTTGCCGATGCCTCGATCTTTTTCTCGATCGTGCTTATCGTTCGCTCGGAGTCTTCGTCGGCGGCGAATTTACCGCAACCACTCTGCTTCCATCGATTGATCGAATTAACAGCTCGATCATCGATCGTTCCTTGTCTGGTACGCTCGATCACTACACACCGTCCCCTGCCCGCCCATTCGATCTCTCTACGGTTTCTCGAGTCGGCCTCGATCTCGCGATTAAACTCGCCGAGAAAGCGTACGTACGAACGATCCAACGAAACGTCACTTGTTCGCGTTCGAACGTTCGATTTCAGGATAGAATCCGCGAAAGAGTTACGATCACCAGTTGCACGAATCTCTTGCCTCAAGGACGATCGATGGTCGTTCGTCCGGTCGTTGAAGGAATCAAAGTTGACAGGTGACAGTTAATGGAGGGGAACAGGCGAGAATGTCGGGCGCGCGGTTCTACGCAGCCACGCGACGAGCGAACACGAGAAAGCAGAACCGGCCAGCACCGAGCACACGCGTATCGCGAACTCCTGTTCGGCAATGTTCGCGTTCGAGTTCCCTCCACCTCGAGGAGGTCGATCGTGTCCCAAGGTGGTACCACCTGGTAGAGGGGAAGGTGGAACACCGAGACCGCCCTTCTCGAACAAAATGGAGTTTTCTCGAGCTTTCAGCTCCGCCTATCGTGATCCACCCACGTCGTTTACCGCTTCGAACGACCTACGAGTCGCACCACGGATCGTCTTTCTCTTGTCTTAGGTTCGCTCGAATCCCTCCTCGAGCCCTGAGCGCGACACGACCGCTGTTACTAAAAACCCTCGGAGGTTTCTGACGCTCGCCGTCAGTTTCGGTGGTTAACGGAGGCGAAAGGAGCGGATTTTCCAGGGAGGGAAGAAACGCCGACAGTTGGACATACGTAGACTTTTTTCGATTTATTTTTTATACACTGTATCCGTTAATCTTTAAATATATTACGTGCGGTGTATTTAGGTATCAATCGCAGGGCAAACGTTTGGTACGAATCGATCGACTCGGTGAACGCGATTATCACAACGGTGGGAGATTTTTCTAAAACACGTTTGGAGGAGTCTTCTATCGGTGGGATGATCGGTAATACTGTTGGCGATATGGCCTGCTCGATCGAGACGTTCCAAACGATGGCCAGTCGCGTCACAACGGCGCGTCCGTTTCTGAGAAACGCAAACACCGTTCCAGCGAACGATACAATTCCGCAGCGATGCGTCGTTTGACGAATTCGCATATACCTATAAACGAGAGGTGCTGATCGAACGAATTAAACGTAAGGGTGAAATCGGGCTAAAGAGCGAGAAGAGGTAAGAGAAAGGGGGGAAAATCGAAAGAAGATTAGTAGAAAGTCCGGTACGGTGACGCAGCTGCGGTCCACGTACGTACTTTCGTATAGACGAGAGCGAATCGCGTCTAATTCCACTTGCAAGTTGACGCAGGAGATACGGACGTTCGATCAGACAGACAGAGCGGCGCGCGATCGTCGTGTCGTTTCGACCACGCATCGTACATCCAACGTACCTCGTCGAAGGATCTTCGACGTTTCGGTAGCGTTCTTCGTTCTTCGAAGTTATTTCAGAAACGTTGTTTCTTTCCTGCAGAGATTCGTCCTCGATGAGAAATAGAAAGAAAAATTAACGTATATAACGTAGAGTATATCTTTGGCACAATAAATACGAATACACGGTACAATCTTCTACGGTAGATGTCTCGCCGATGAGTTCGGGAACGTCAACGAGCATTGAAACACTTCGACGAGACACCGAGGCGTAATCGCTTGACTCCTTACCAATCACGACGCATGAGATCCTTCGTATTCCTCTTACGCGATCATTTCTAAATAAAACGAAATAAAAAAAAAAAAAAAAAAAAGAAAAGAAGATTCTGAACGAACCTTGCGACGATATAGGAAATTACAGCTAACGATATTACGCTTAGCACCTAATGGGGTTTTATCGTTTCGGGAATTGTTATCAAATCGTGGCAGTATCCGAAATCGTTACTCCGACGATAAAGACAGCTCGATATCGAATACGCGCCGAAGATATATAAAAAAAAGAGAAAGGGAAAGAAACGGTTAAGTGTCTCGCACTAGATAAAAGAAGGTTGCAACGCTTACGCTACACGTTGCCGTGAACACCTAGGCCTTAATTTTACATAAACGAACCAATTATATTTAATATACCAACGACCTGTTTAGTACTCGTTGCCGACAATCTATCTCGATCAGCCGACCGAGCTCGTTATCGATCGTCGATAGTATTGAAAACGCCCTAACTAACTTACCGCTCACGCAGAAACCTACTTAATCCGCAGTAGATCGCATATGTATCGTTTCGAGACTAAAAACCATGACCAAAAGCCCAGCTTTCTAGTATTCTGTTAGGTGGTGAACGAAATCGTTAATGTGTCGCGGAACAAACGAACCGAGTATCGCTCGATAAATAAAAATATATCGAATCTCTTGGAACGAGACGATTCGCGTAAATTTCTGTCGGTTTAACTCCGTTCTAAGCTACGCGAATTCATCCTCTGTTGCAAGTATATATATATATACATACTTGGATTAATTGCGGAATAATTCGAATATCGATAGAATATCGACGGGTTCGTTTCGATCGAGTAGAAAACCGCGTTATCGTTCGTCGTGCGCTTTGATTTGATTGTTCCACGTTACGATATCGAAATGCCTCGTAATTACCAGCTATTTAGAAAGCACGGATATACAAACTCTGTTAATAGATATAGGAGACATTTTATTGGGAGTGAACCTGAACTGTGGAACAACGAAAAAAGTTCGCGCAACTGCGATCCTCTTCTGATAATCGTTGAAAAACAATCGTCTCGATAATGCTTGGGCTGATATTAACGTATGATAAGTACGAAATATGAAAGCGCATTAGTTACACGCGCCTAGGAACTTTTTTCATTGCTTCGTGGCTTCGGAAAATCGAGCCCGAAAAAAGTGTCTCCGATATTTACTAACTCTTCGTATGACTGTTGCATTCGCGCGTCGTAGCCTATTCTTCGTGTAAAACTCCACTACGATTTTATATCCTAGTTTCCTGCTACGTTTTCGCTCTCTGGTACAAAGATACTTGTCTTGTCTTTCACATATAAAAGTTTCATAGTACATCTATATAATCGAGTGTCATGATTAATCGCAGTCTACCAGTTGCTTCCAATAGCCGCGTCATTGCATTTTTCTTTTGATTTGGAAAAAGTCGCTGGGTCGCGATCAGACGCGCGATTACCTGACGCGTACAATATGAGTATAAAAGTCTGGAGATTATCGGTCCCCTATGGCATTATTGTTCGATCGAGAAGTTGGACCAAGAAGCGCGGCGTTTCTTTCGGTTTTCTACGCGCTATGAAATCGCGTGCCTCGAGTATATAGAAACGCAGCACGATGCTGCTGTTGCTGCTGCTGCTGGGTCCATCCTTCCTTGATATACGTGCGGTAGATTGGAAAACGTGGCCGCCAGTCCGTTCCCGCTGTGGTTGACGATCTTTTTTCTTTTTTTCCTCGCCATATCGACTTTATATAGTCTGGCGCTAAGCGGATACGTGGTTCGGCACGTTCGACGATGACGTGGTCTGCAACGGGGACCGTGACTGATGGAACCTGAGCAATTCCGAGACCGTGACAGCCACGCGAACCACACCTCGACCTCCTTCCAGAACGTCGCTAGCGCAGCACACGAGATTCTGAAAATGACAAGCACGCGTGCGTTCTTCGTTAATCCAAGTCTATCGAGAGCCGGCATGAAATCGTCGCGTCTGAGGATAGTAGTTCAGGTGACGACCGTTCGTCATCATGCTCAAGCGATTATACCAAAAGAATATTTTATTATCAGTGGAAATAGTATTACAATCGTTATGATAGTCGTACAATCGGTGTTACAGAGTACGTCTCTCGAAAGTAAAACCGAGTATCGTTAGTAGCACTGTTGTTCGAGTGGCGAGACAAAGAGTTTCCCAACGATTGTTCTCCGGCACGCGAACTATGCGACACTATGGGAAGCATAGAAACGCCGCGACTCGTGCTCGATTGTTCCAGGCCATCCAACCGATCGAGCTCGCACGAGCGCGCGCGTTTCATTCGCTTTCGCGCTATACAAATTATTCGAACGGAGCCAAATCCAGAGTCGTGTAAAAATTTGAACCGATAAGCAGAAAGTGATATTTCTTCGAATCGACTCGATTTCGCTGCGGCGATGTAGCCGCCTTTTCTTAGCGCGTGTGGCATAGAAACGAAACACGAGACACGCCGCCCACGTTCACCGTTCACGCGGCGAGGAGTGATCGTCGTTATCGCCCGACTATGCCCCATTGTGCGAGTAGAGTCGGAGAAGTAGAGAAGACACGAGCAATGGTCGTTTCGACGATTGTCCTTGTATCGCTGTGATCGTGAAATCGTTGGACGAACGTGCTGCTGGCAGTTCAATCAGATTCGATCGTACAAAAGTGGAAAAGTAGAGAGAGAGAGAGAGAGAGAGAGAGAGAGAGAGAGACAGAGAGAGTTAGAGAAAACGAACGCGTACCGTCTATCGATCATGCTGTGTATCGTCCAACGAGCACGAAGGGATTGTTCAAGCGTTCGACTCGATGGATGGACGCGATCGTTCGAAGGAACATGAATTAAATAATAAGAGAGGCCTTTCTTCCCTTTCCGATAATCGTACAAAAAAGCTTAAGCTTAAAAAACAACAAGATAAAAAATGAAGCACCGAGTTTTAAAGAGCGATCGTGATCTAAGCTCGTAATTTGCGACGAATTAGCTTACGTAGTACAATTTGAGAAACAAAAAAACGACCAAAGAGAAAAATAGTATCAACGTACCATATATCTGTGTCCATACAATACAGTATGATATAATATAATATAATAATAATAATATATATATAATATATAATATAATATAATATAATATAATATAATTTATCTCTATATGTATATATACGCTCTCTTATTCTTTCTCTCTGTTCTTTACATAAATTATACAATTATACAAGCTAATGCAACGGAATGATCTTGTGTTCGGTCTTCTCATCGCTCGTCTTTTCTACTTGCGCCCCTTTGCGAGCAGATAGAAGGACGCAGCCTCTTGTGGAAGCGACAACTAATCGTAAAAGAAGAAAACCACTGCGTCAGAGCGCAGAAGACGTCGTACAGAATAAAAGGTAAATTAAAGTGAAATAAACAGTCTTACGGTTGCGATTAATTCGATGTAATTACGTCCTGTCCGATCGTTACAAAAAAAAAAAATAAAAAGAATATAATACTGATGAGATCGTCGCCGTTCAACTCGATATCGTCGCGACTCTTCCTTAAGCTAGCTTCGTCGAAACGATTCCTATTTTCAAGCGATAAGATCTTTGGATGCATCTCGGAATTTTTGTTTAGCGAGCCTCACGGACAATTAACGCCCAAGCAGTCTACGAACGACAACGAAATCGATCGGAAGAGTAGTAGTGGAAGAGACAGCAGGAACGAAGAAAATTAAGTAACGAATTAAACGTTAAGTCACCCAGTGAATACGAGACTTGTTGCGTATAACTTAGACGGGAACGAAGATTAAAATAAAAAAAAAAAAAGAACAAGTCGAGCTGACTAGAACCGGAGATGAACTTAACAAACGATTAGAAGTACGTAATACCAGAGACTAGAAAATTCATAAACGTTCTACCGCCGACCGATGCTAGTTGCCCGAATTGAAACGAAATAAAACTTTACGATCAAAGTAACGCGGTATTCTGGAAGATGCAGCTCGCCTTGCGTTCTCAAAACTTAGCAACTCGTGTGTTCGTTCGTCGTGTCATAGAAACATCTCGCGAACACGCGATCTACGGTCAGTTGGAAACGCAGAAATTCCATACAAGAAGAGCCAACGTGTTATATCTAAAAAGAAGAAGAAGAAGAGAAACAAATTTGTACGTCTCTACTTGTAAATAGACCGTCGTATTAGACCGTAGTAGAAACGATTGATTTCTCGTAAAAATTCCTTTGTGCGTTCTCGATCAGATAATCCTCGATACGTGTTTGAGGCCACGTGTTCATTCGTACCGTTTTATTCGACGTACTAGCAGCGATATAAAAGCATCTCGGAGAAACAGAGTCGCGCGACGCGTACTACACGGTTCGAGTGTCTGACGCGTTTGGCACTAATCTACCGCAATGTATTCGATTGGACGCGTCTGCGGAGCGACAACCGGAAGCAAAGACCTCCGGCAATCCGAAGACTCGATCTAAGCGACCCGCTCCTCCTTAAGTTCCTTAACGTAGACAATATAATACTTATCGTACGAATATATGTAGAATAAGTTAGACGCGTGTATATTCTAGACGATATACGTATTGTACGTCCGCTACGATACTTTTGTTTTCTTGTTACGTTAAACGCGTTTATATGAAAATATGGAGATTATCTTAGGTCTACGACCGAATTGCTTGGTCGGTGAGGTGTAAGTGCTCTCGTTTGCACGTCCCTCCCTCAACGAAAAGCCATATGGTTTACTTGCCTCGGTCGAGACGAAGAGAAAGAGAAAGAAAATTTATCGTTGCCGCGATCTCGTTGGGGAGGGACGCAATACTGCCCGTAACTCGTAAACGATAAAACAATGATCGAATGAGAAATTCCTTTCGAGTTCGAATGTGCGTTAAACCTACGTACCAAAATAGGAAATCTTTGAACTTAAAGAGATTTCTAGCACCTTGTTGCGAATCCTGTAGTACTCGAAGGCTACCTATCACAGACCCATCAATCCTGAAAGAGCCGTAGGCGATTTGTATTGGTCGAACGTTAAAAAAATACTACCATCCGAGGTATACACGAAAGTTCCTTCGTCTTTCTTCTCTTTGAACTTTGCCATTCTGGCGTGATTCTAGACACGTCACGGGTTCCAGACGATGCCGCAATACCAGTTGGGAGAATTCGATTCGCTTGTTTCTCTGTTTTCCTTTGATTCGTTGATTCCGTCATCGAGAGAAATTATTTCGAACCCGAAGCTACCGACACCGATGGAAGATTTCTCGAACGAGTATTGCACACTGACACGCCGCTTCGAACACCGTCCCTTCGCGTAGCAAAATACTATTTTCTCAACAGATCCTGCTCGACGATAAATCTCATCGGTCGTTATGATCCAGCCATTCCAACGAACGATTCGTCTGTTCAAGGTACATACATACAAGGTACATACAGGCGATTCTATCTGATATGCGAGCGTCCAACAGCTTTGATTGCGCTCTTTGATTTTTTTTTTCTTTGTTTTTTTCATTTTTTACGTTCTCTTCCATCGTAAGATGTTCGCGTTCAACGATCGGAACTCGAGAACAACGTTCTTCGCTCGAGTCCCCGTCAAAGGCCTTATACCAGAACAGAAACGGTTAACTAACTTGCGCACTACGTAGCCGCTTCTACAACTAGGCGGACTAAATGTACGATCAAGCTGCCTTTCGATACTTAAGGGGCTACCGAATACTATTTCGTCGAAAGTTTTAAGCGTCTCTCTCGAGCCACAACGACGAAGGCAAACAAACGAACAACCTTGTCCAAGCTACAGCTGTGACGTAGTCGATGTAAATTAAATCCAATATACAAGCGAAAGCGCTCAGTTGCTTCTTAATTAGACCAACGATCGATCGCACGCTGATAAAAAGTTTCGAGTGTCCCAATTCGATGGCGTTTCGTTTAAAACGAAGGCGATGAAAAACGAGAAGGAAAGTTAGAAGTAGCGAAACTACGCCGAGTTGGGGTAACGAGACATTTCTGACAACGGTAAATAGCTCTCGATACGTTTCTTTCGGGTATCGTACGTATCGTGCTTAAAATAAACTCGCAATTAAGATCGATGTCGGAAGGGGTGTGATGACTCTGCGCGACACTCGACCCCGTTCTTCGCCCGACAAAGCAAACGAAGGATAAAGAAAATAAAATTAGAAAAATATCATGCCGCTCTATGAGTACTAATTGGGGTAGAAGAAGTGGATAGAAGAGTGTCGTGCAGTAACTCGATCGAGCGACTCGACGGCTCGGCGAACGAACCGAAAAATTCCCGACAGAACGTTAACCAGAAAACTATAAGAAACCGTGTGTTTCCCGAGTCGCTGCACCGAACCAAGTCGCGTCGCGTGTCGATATATCGGAGTAATCCCAGAGTAATCTTCGATTGTGCTTTTCTCTTGCGAGCGTCGTTCGTTCCATCGTTTTGCACTCTGGCGTTCTCGTCTTGGTCGCTCTTTTTCTTTTTCTCTTTTCTTTTGTCTTTCTTTTCGTTTTGCGTTTAATCGGGAATGGGAAAGAGATAGAGCAGAACGAAGGTGGATAGGAATGTGGCAAAAAGCATCGCGGATAGAACGCGATCCTGAATCGTATGGGATGAACCTGCGGCCGATTCTTCGGTATCGTTCTCTCCTTCGTCACGGAAAAGGAGAAGAGCGGAGACGAGACGCGCCAGAGCCTCCAGCCCGTACGCGTCCATGTAACCCACGTCCATGATTGCGTCCGCGTCCATTAACACCTCCTGCAACACCAACAACGATACTACTCAGTCCCAGTCTCTACTACGTCGCTGGTCGTTCTGAACGTTCTCGTTTTGATACAGAACCCTGTCCACTTATCACTCTTACTTCTTCGAAGCGACACCTTCCTCGAAATCAACGATTCGAACCTTTTGCGAAAACTTGCCTCTTTCGGACGAACATTGCACGAAAATCGTTCGATTTAGGTGCTTCATCGAGAAAGTGAGCAATGCCAGACTTGGGTATCGTTTCATACGTATCGTTGCTACGACGAACGTACCCAATTCTGGTTCCTATCTCAAAAAGATACAAATGCGAATAGCTAGTTTGGAAGATAGTCGAAGAGCGCGGGCATAGTTCGGAATTTATGCCAGTCGAAGTGGTATCGTGGTTGTCGTTAAATCGTATAAGAACGTCGAGAAGTGAAGATACTAAGACGAGACGCGTTCAAAGCGTTTTCCGATGAAGCGACGAGCGACACAAAAGCGAATACGAGTCTAGGCACATGCAACTAAAGCTTCTTTCTTGGTTTCTCTCCACTTCCTTTTTCCAGCTCTTGCATTTTTTTTTTTTTTTATTTTTGTGCTTTTGCGATTTGTGGAACGAGAAAGATTTTGAAAAAAGGACGAATCGTATACCCTCGTGACTGAATGAAAATCGGGGACTGACTAGTAGTTGTTGGAAATATCATGGACAAACGTACCGGCTGTTGTCGAAGCGTTAGTTACGACCTTGCCAAGAGGCGTTCGATCGACGATAGTACGGATGCCTATATTTCTTTCGATTTTGCGCTCGAACCGTTTCTCTTGTAACACTTTGGCCGTGCTTTCACGATAATAAGACACGAACGTGTTTGCAGGGCGTGTCGAGTACAATCGTCACGGAAAAAAATCGTTAGGTAATAAAAGAGGGAAACAAAAAATGATTTTGTTCCACGTAGAAGCATACAGTGGTTTAACGTGCGTTATACATGCCGCGGGACCATTAGCGAGAGATAAAGCGCGAGAATTCTCGAGAAGTTGTTTAATGAGAGGTATCGAGTGAGTAGCTTACCTCATCGACGCCTATCTTTCGACACGCCTCAAGAAAATTGTCGACGTTACGCCTGCATCTTGCCATTGTCAACTTGGGCTGCAAATTACGATACAATCGTTATTTTTCGATAATCTGAAAATCGTCGCGTCGATTAGACAGCCCGAGAACGCTTACCACAGCTGGCGAAGGAACGTGGATACTGGCAACAGACCGAGGTCTTACGTGATTTGCCAAGTGACAGAGAACAACTCCGTCTGTTAACGCCGGAGCAAGATCTTCCGGTAGAGCCATCTTCAACCGCGTTTCGATATGCTAAAAGGAAACTCAAACATTAGCCACTTGTTTGCTACAACAAATGATAAACGCGTGAAAGTCGATCCTTTCCGATACTCACGTTTCGGAGCTGCTCGATCAAGTCAGCTTCTTCCTTGGCACGTTCAAACTCCCTTCTCATGGTGAACGAATACTTCTCTGGCACGTTGCTGTTCCACGTAACCGATCGGGGAGACTTTGGACTTCCACCGTTTCTGCTGGGACTTTTGTTACCTAGACCAGACATTATCCATATTCCATTTAATTGTGCATGACACCAGTCGTTTGTCTCATTGCCTTTGTTCAATGGTTTTTTACCTTCTACGTAACCAACAGCTGTTTTGACTAGCCTAGGAGTGTGTCCCGGGCTGGTGTTGGAAGATAAAATGCTCGAAGATGTTTTAATTGGCGAATTAGGCTTCTTATACGGCTGCTCGAGGTACTTTCCGTTCTTATTGTTGTATTCGTTATTGCTACCGTTGATAATTGGCGTGTTCTGATAGTTGATGCGTGACGGAGTTACCTTCTGTACTGGTCTCTTGGTCGCGTTTTCCTCGTTGAAGATCTGTTTACCGACCATACCAAGTGCGTCTTTACTGCTAGCCAAGTCTGTCTCGTTGCTCTGCGATTCGTTGTCTGGCGGAGTGACTTGTTCCCGTGGCCTGTACACGCTAGGCCCTTCGTTTGCCCTTTGTTGTCTCAACGCCTCTTTATACTCTCTATAAATTTATCACGCGATATCATCGTGTGTGTCGTTGCTTCTTGACATCTGTTAGACGGTACAAACGCATACCTGTAAGTTTGAATGTGATTCAGCGGCCTTTTCTCATCTCCGTTCATTAAAGAGGTAGTAGCGTTCGAGATCGACGTTTGCAGCGGTTGCACGGATTGCGTGTTCGTTGAGACTGGCACCGCTTGATTCAGATGAGCGGATTCGAGGGGACTAAAAAAGACGCGGGAAGGCATCTGATGCTTCAGCTCGTCTATTAACCGGTAAAAATCACTACGCAACCACGTGATGCACAGTGGCAGTAACGATGATTGGCTTATTAACAGCTCGCTTACCCGGGTGGCGTAATCGACGCGTGGTAGAGGCCAGAGGTCATCGGTCTTCTGACATCGGCTCCATTCTCCGAGGTGCTCCTCTCCAGTTTTCTCTTTTCCAACTGATCGTGCAGTATCATAGCCTGTAAATACGGTTTCGTGGAGAAAGAGAGAGAGAGAGAGAAAGAGAAGATAAATCTAAGTAGAGAGATTTGAGAAGGTAAGGTGAGCGCATTCCTAGCGCGCCACCTTGGATGCTACGCGCGTTAATCGCGAGCGACGCTGACGGCGAGTTCTTTCAATGGGTTAAGGTCATTCAACGAGGCTTGAACGACGGCCAAGCGCAGCTTGACAACACAGATATCATTTTCAAGGGGCGCGCGAATTCTATTCACTCGCTAAATATAGACGTTGTATCATACGCGCTCACACTTGGAGTAAGCCTAAACCCATTAGAAAAGCTTGGTCAAACAGGATACCGCACGGAAGCGATTGACGAAAGCGGTTCGAAACCTACCTTGCCGAGCTCATCCTCGAGAGACGTGTGCTCACCAGGCGAGATGGTACTAGGAGTCGAGGTTCCGCTGCAGGATCCATTCACACCCGTCTCGTGCGGCAACGTGATCGAAAGGGGCGAGCATTCTTGACGCCACAGCCCTCGAATCTCGCCATCATGCACCTGCGCGCAAAAAGGTGTCCAGCAGGAGGTACTACGAGAAATCGTCGACCGTGTATACGTGCTTGCGTGCGTTTCAAAGTTTATTGTTTGCGTTCTTTCTACATGTTTGGACCAGTCAGAGTACAGGAGAGTGTGTATGTTTCAGGAAGGTTTCTACGCTGAATCCAGATTGTTATCTACAGCGGGATTTACAAAGTTTCGTAGCCGAAAAACTTGTTATAGAGCCAGGCGAAGAAGAAGAACCGTAGAAATAGGAAGAGGGTGAGAAGAAGGACGAGGAAACTAACCGCGCTGTGAATTTCTTGAGACCAACGTTTGTCGACGCCGTCGCTGGTGCTATAGCCACTGTCGACGTTGTGCCGCCTGTGAGTTCTCGTGTCTAGAGTCGCGTGACCTCTAACATCCAAGGGTGTCCTTCTCGCGCGGCCGCCTCTGGCTCTCTCGTGTTTCGCCGCCTGTCTCTCCAAATATTTGAAGATGTGCGTTCGCCCGCGAATGCATAGCTGCGAAAACAAACGAAAATAGTCGGCTGGATAATTGGCCGATCTATAATTAGACGACTCCATCTCGTTTGATTCAGAAGCTTATGCTCACCGAGGCAGGCGGCGAGGTCAAAGGATTATCGGACAGCCGGAAGTCGACCAGGCTCTTCATCTTTCTCATCTCGTTTGGAAGCACGGATATTCGATTGCCACTGATATCCAGCTTTACGAGTCTCAGGTACGTCAGTTCTGCGCAGAACGTTCGATTTCACGATCGTCAATTGCATCGGATGCAAGGTGAGACATGGCGAGTGGGGAATCGATAGAAGGGAAGAATTTTGACGCGCGCATTAAAGGGACGTTAGCCCGGTTCCCTCGGATAACTCGACAAAGCTCCTATTTGCGACGTGACGCGGGCGGAAGCATCCGTAAACAGGCGTTACCTACCTATAGGCAGGTGCACGATCATGTTACTCCTCAAATCTAAGGACCTAAGTCGCGCAAGATCACCCATCCTAGGGGGCAGGTTCGTGATTTCGTTGCAGCCGGCGTCGAGCTCCGCCAACGCCGACATTCTGCCCAATTCGTCCGGCAGAGACGCAAGTCTGTTGTGAGCGACCAATAACGTTTGCAGCGGTAGCCTGCATATCTCCCGAGGTAGAGACGTCAATTGATTGCGACTGCGAACAAAAACATCTCCGCTCGTTAATTCTAAGCCCGCATCACGGAGAATCAGAGGCCTCGTGACTTCCTGTCCTTACTGACCTAAGATCGAGGTAGTTGAGGGACTGCAGCATCACCACAGTCTCCGGTATTATTCTTATCGCATTGTGGTAGAGATGCAGCTTTTCGAGGAACAGAAATTCCGTCACTTCTTCCGGCAATTCGGCGAAACGGTTCTTCGAGAGATCTGTAACAGGAACGAAACAACGATATATTCGTCGCGTAACGCCTTCCGAATAATGTTCGCTACAGGGAAAGCATAATACTTCTTGAAGAGGCCTGTTTAATTGAGAGACATCGTCAGGATTCCCCGTAGCAACAGCTGTGCTCTGGTTAGGGTGATGCTTGGGTTCGTGGGGGGGTTCTTATGAATGGGGTGCGACGGTCACGTGCGTGTACAGTCTCGAAACGTAGGAAAAGGATAAGGGTGGCTCAGCTGCTGTTGGCTTCGAGCCTCCTTTCTGATCAATAACCACGGCCTATGTGTGTGCCTCCGTTTCCTCCGGGAGTTGGTTAGCCAACCGTTCGACTCGTCATTTTCCTTCGCGCCAGCTTTTCAAACCCTCTGGCTATCGATCGGACGCTTCATAGCGTCCGACGGCACTACCGGCATCTGATAATTTTCCCGAATCCTCGACACGAACCACGGTCCCTAGCCGTGGTGTCGAAAGTGGCCCGAGCGCGAGTGCTGAAACGTTAATTCGAGGAAATTTCATTCCGCTTTCTCGGAAATTCGATTTCGGCTATCCAGTTTACGCGATCGGAACGGAAATTGCCAATCGATCGTCAACAGGATACCCCAGTTCTCTTGCAAATACTCAGTTCGTTATCTTCTCATTTGCACGATTTGCAAGTCTTATTGCACGACGACTTATTACTTATCGAGGAACAGCCGCGTTTCCCTCGTGCACGCCCACGACCGTAATAGGTACGAGTCCATGGGGTGAAAAGCAAAGCCTGGAACCATTGGTGCACGGTCGATCGCATAATCGTCGAGCAAGGGCGTCGGCCCGTTGGTGTTGGTGCGATGCAGACGAAAATAGCAAACCCCTATTCTGTCTCTGTGCCATCGCCATAACTCTCTGCCAATGAAACTAAACAATTTTTAGCAGAGCGTCGTCTGCGTGATTCTATTTACTTTCCACGAGGAATGACAGAAACCGTTCTCGCCTAACGTTTGATAAGAAATCGATTCCTAAACGAATCCTCTACAACCGGCTTCGTAACGAGCGCGAACGATTCATCGAAAGTTAATTGCTATAGAAGTAGTAATAGGGAAGTTCGCAACTGTGGCACATATAGGGTGTTTCACGAAGGGGTCGATGCACCAGGCGATTCCAAGGGCCAAGGTCGAGGTCCGGCCAACCCAGGGATCGATACCACGCACATAGATTTGCGTGACGCTGTACAAAGTTGCTAGACTGTCATTCGCCAACGGATGGGCGTGGCCCTGTTGTCCATGTTGCTTGTTTTTACGATAAAAACAATTACGCGGATAAGCGGCGTTTAACCAGGCTGCCAAGTCTGCCTCTTCCGACCTGCTAATAATACGACACCGACGCGGCGGAATATGAAGTCCGAGCGATCGAAGTGTTTGCATTTTTATCGCGCGACTCGCTTGCTTATGCATACGCACAAGACAATAACGCCGGAAAGACGGTTCACGCAATCGTAAAGGGTTGGACGTATATGCGACGTAACGCACGAGTAGAAAGCGTCCGCCAAGTAATTTCTACGATAATCCGCGTGCTAAGACGAGAGACGCTGTCGACCGATGATAAAAATAATTTTCCTAGGAAAGAATAGAACGCTTATCTTCGTGCAATTAGAGCTATCGCATTTTTATAGATTAATACACTTTTTTAAACGATTAAAATACTTAATAATTGAGAACGCTATATATGGTTGATTAATTTAATAATTGCAAAGATAAAAATTCCGAAATCGCAACGAGTTTACTCGTTCCAGCCTTGATTAATCGTTCGAACATGTTATCGGAGCGAAAAACTTTCGCGTGTCACGAACGAGATAACTCCTCGCAAAACGTTCAATGTTTTAAGAATTTTTGCCTTCTTGGCTCAAAACCACCGTAATCATTGTACGTTTTACATAAATTTACGAGAGCGGAGAGCGAGTGGCGGCGTTGCTTGGGCGTGCCGCGTCACGAAACGCCGGCTCCTATCGCCGATACAAAACACAGGGTCAACGACCATAGGCAAAAATTGCCTCGTGCGTTAATTAAACTACGGAACAGCTGGAGACGCAGAGAAAATAGTAAATCGTTCGGTAATGGCAACCTTGAACGATTCCTTCGCTATTCAGCGAGAGATCGACGATATAATATGCACGAAGGCCAATATGGTCGACGTACAACAAGCTAGTGTGTTCGTGGGAAGAGACGCGGATAAAACGCAGGAGAAAATACTCTAACGACGTTAAGTTATCCTTCTCGGAGTATATGGGGTTATAAGAGCTAGCATAAGGGCTGCCGTGAAACCGTGGAAACAGAGGGTTGCCGGATCGATAACGCCCCCATAGCAGATATCGTCCAGGGGGTTGGCTGTACGAAGAGCGCAAGGTGTCCCATGAGCGGCATGCTACCCTCTTTCCGAGCTTTTCTGCTGGAAAATAAAATCATTCGAGGCGAGGCGAACTCCTCGCGAACCAATGATCGGTAACGACGTTAGAAGTTCGCTAACGAGCCACATGGTCCGAGGGCTCGAAACCGATTTAATTCCACTCCAGATACATTATTAAACGGTAACGCGCTTAACGATCAATTCTACGTAAAAGCATGATTAACGCTCAACGCGGAACGTACTATTGCTTCTTCGCGACGATTCGAGAGATAACGCGTTCTCGATCGATCGATTCGAGAGTTGTCGATCGCAGCATGCGCCAGGTAATTGCTTTCCAGCGTAATTCCTGACGTGTCACGTCGAGGACACGGGAAGAGAAAAAGGCAAGAGAAGGACAGAAGAGGAACACCAAGAGCGAAGGGAAAGGGAGGAAATTCTGGTGGCGAAGTCGTGCATAGACTGGGAACGCTCGCTCGGTGCTCGCTTCGCCCTTGAACCATCGTCGTTGCTGAAGAGATCGCGTCAAAAGCGAAAAGAGAAAAGCGCGGAGAAGCCACGGAGGAAGCAGGCGAGAAAGGACGTATGCCTCCGTTGCTTTTGTAAGAGACCGACACGCCACTTCCGGCGACGAGGACGCGAGTGCGAACACGACTCGCATACTCGATCAAACTCAAAGCGGACGGAACCGAACAACTTTGAGCACACTGGATGGAACACGGGTGAAACATCGATAGACGTGAAACGATCGATCGCTCGAAATTTATTGTCCGATCGGTCAGTCAGTGACAGTAACCAATGCGCTATCTCGAGAAGTCTCATAGAATTTAGATGAACTTTTGATGGTCGGTCGCCACTACGCGACGCAAGGTCCCACGTTGCGAGGACCGGACTTTTGCATTTAAACTAGTAGGACGAGTCCGTCGAGCATCTGGTAGTTGGTGATTCGACGTTGCATGAATTATACTCGGACGTGGGGAAAGATCCGAGAGAGAGAAGGTAAAATAAAGAAGGTAGTATCGCGCAGCCGGTTTCCATACTCCTGCCGACTGACCGTGGCAGGCAATGCGTGCCGAACAGTGCGTCGCATTGTGTATGCTACGTGTTCGAGCGTGCCGGTACGCGTGCACGCCTTCGTGTACACGCGTGTACGCTAAAGCGAGCCGTATGCGACGAATCGTGCTGCGCGAACGGAATACGCGCCTCTTACCATCTATTGCTACTGATATTTATTTATTCATTTATATACGCATAGGCGGAGATGCGAGAGAATGACGAGAACAAATATCAGGCGCGTTAATTTAACATTTTTCTATGCGTGTAATTCAAGGCGAGAGCGTGAACAATTGATTCGTCGTTGCGCGCTTTCACGAGGGTGTACAAACTTCTTTCGCCCGTCGAAACGAGAGTTCGCTTCCCTTTCTTCATCGGCAACGGCGGCGCTTCAATTATCGCAGCATCGTGGAAGAGCAGCAACAGCACCAGCATCGCCCCTAAAGCACCGTTCGCTTTCTTTCTCGCTGCCTACGAAAAGCTTCGCTCTTCTCGTGGGTTTCTCTTCGTTCCTTTTCTCGTTTACCCAACCTCTTTTACCTCGTTTTCAGTGCAACGAGCGCGAACCGAGTTTTCAGGTTGCACCGACTCCGCCATCCTTGACCTAAAAACTAATACCCAAGATGAAAAGAACCGAGAGCGACCTGGAACACAGGGAAAACTAGTCGAAAGCTGCACGGGGTGTAACAAGACCACGCTCGATAACGCGTCGAAATATCGCGTTACACCGGTACGACCAACATTTCGTTCGAACGGAGCATTTTTTTTCAATGACCTCTCGCTGCTATCGGATGGCAGTTTGCCGTCTCTCTATCGTATTGAGAGAACGCGATATCTTTACCAACGATTCGAGGCTGTTTAGCATTTGCGATCACGAGCCGTTGGTTGAAAACGCTAAACTTAGGCCGCGATCATCCGTAGACGGCAACGCGGTGGCACGGAAATCGAAAGCGTTCGAAAAATCTACGGTTGTTCGCGATGACTGGAAAGGGCCCGGTTCGATCGTACCGCAAGTCCCTTTGTTCGTAACCATGCTGCGTAACCACAAAACAAAGCCCTCCACGCAGGTACGTCGTTATCCCCCCAGAAACTAAACCGAAGGACGCACTCTCGTCGAGGTATTCTTTGTTCGATGTCATCGCTGATAAATCAACGGCACTTTCTCCGTTGGCGACGTATCAGCGACGGTAAATATCGCGGCGATCGCGATGGAACGTTCGAGCAAAGGGCCAAGGTTTAAGTCTCTCTGATGACTCGGAGCAAAACAAGCCGCGTTTGGGACTGCTCGTTAACGACGAGTCGGTTAATTTAACCTCGGATAACGAGATCGAGGAGAAACGCCAGCCTTGTAGATTTGTTTCCACGCGAATTATTCGGCCGGCTCTGAACCCGGTATCTCCTAATTGAAGCCACGGACGATGCTGCATGGATACAGATTCGGTTAGCCTTAATCGCGTGACGACCTACTAATTATCCACGCCCGCGATTCCCCAGCTCCGTGCGTCGCTTGCCCGGAACCAGAGAAAGGTACGCTCTTCTATGGCCAGAGATCTATCGC